ATGGGAAAATGTCCTCGGGTGAGGATAAAAAAAATGTAATATTTCATATATTTTAAACCTCATTTAAAAAAGAAAAAAACAGCCCTGGCCAGTTTGGCTCAGCGGTTAAAGCGTCGGCCTGCGGTCCGGAGAGACCCGGGTTCGGTTCCCGCTAAGGGCACGTACTTCGGTTGCAGTTTGTCCTCGGCCCTGGTTGGTCGTGCGGGTGGCAGCCACTCGATGTGTCCCTTCACGTCGATGTTTCTCTCTCTCTCTCCCTCCCACTCTATCTGCACAAAAAATGGAAAAATATCCTCGGGTGAGGATTAAAAAAAAACAAAAAACAGAAAATCTTTAGAATTTTGGATTAGGCAAAGATTTTTTAGATATTATCATGTAATTAGCTAGTTAATATTAATAAAAGAAAGCAAAGAGGAGACCAGATATTGTAGGCATGGTCATCTGGGCAGCTTCACCAGGAAGCTATAGCTTCATGCCCCCCAGGGAACCACCAGCCCATTCCCTGCAAATCACTGGGGAAAGGAATCAAAGGGGGAGATGGGTACATGCAGTGAAGTCAGAGTGATGTAGGGAAGGTGCTTGCCTGTCAGTCTAGCCTGAGGAACAGTGGATGGCTAGGGAGTGGACCCCATCACAAGTGCACAATATCTTGGAAAATTAAAATCCCCAATTCCCTCTTGCTCCGCTTGTTCACCCTTTTCTCTCTCTTTTACTCTGTGACCTGCACTCGCTGGTGCACTAGCCTATTCTCTCTTCATAGCCATGTAGCCTTAAGTAGCCACATGACCCATGGCCACGAAGATCCCACATACAATGGATTGCAGCTGGGAAGACAAACTAAGCTAGCCAGATGTTGGACTGGACTGGACTTTAATAAGGAACAGAAATTCTGGGCAGTGGCCTTAATCCTGGCCCTGCTGAAGACAAGATCGGACTTCTTCCATGGTGAGGACAGAGATGGGACCTTGGAGAGGAACCCCCTTAATTTTACATCATTAATAAAGCTTTCCACAAAACCCCATCCTCCTGTGGGGGCCTCAAAAATTATTTTCCTTGTAGCACCCCCAAAAACTCCACTTCCACTGATAACAATATGACAACAAATGCATAATCCATAAAAGAAAGATTTGATAAACTGAACATCAAAATTAAAAATTTCTGCTCTTCCAAAGACACCACTGAGAAAATAGAAAGATAGCATAAACTGGGAGCAAAGTAGTATTTATTATTTGAACATAGACTTTGGTTAAAGATTATATATATATATATATATATATATATATATATATATATGTCAGGTAATTCAAGATTTAACTCTAAGCTCTATTTTTTTCTTTATTGACTTTTAGAGAGAAAGGAAGGGAGACAGAGAGAGAGATAGAAACGTGGATGAGAGAGAACATCTATTGGCTGCCTCCTGCATGCCCCCCACTGGAGATCAGGCCCACAACCTGGGCATGTGCCCTGACCGGGAATCAAACTGGTGACCTCTTGGTGCATTGGTCGACGCTCAACCACTGAGGCGCACCGGCCAGACTAAGTCTAAGCTGTTTCTAAGCTGTTAACTCTAAAATGTTTATAAGAAAAACATTTTAAATAAAAGGATATAAGTAGGCTAAAAGTAAAATGATAAAAATATATCGACCTTGCAAACATTAGTCTAAAGAAATCTTAGGTAGCTATATCAGATAAATAACTAAATAAACTTAAATAACTAAATAGATATAACTTCCAAGCAAGAAACATTACCAGGGATAAGGATAGTACATATCAATAAAGATATTCAATTTTCCAAGAAATCATATTCCTAAATATATATACACCTAACAAGAGATTTTCAAAACGCATGAAGCAAATTGTTAGAAAAGGAAAATGAACAAACAAACCCACAACTCAACACGCCTTTCTCAGCAACGTAGAACAGCTCTCGCACAGCAGTGTAGGAAAAGTAGACAGAAAACTAGTAAGAATATAAAAGACCTACCTGAACAACACTATCAGCCAATTAAACCGACTTAATATTTAGAGAATACTCCATCCAAACTAGCAAAATGTAAACTCTTTTCAATTGAACATGGAATATTCACCAAGATAAACCATATTCTGGACCATAATGCAAACTTTAACAAATGTAAAAGAACTGAAACATAAAGTGTGTTCTAGAAATATAACAAACTAGAAATCAGTAATAGAATATCTGGGAAATCCTCAAATATTTTCAAATTTAAAAATATAAATAACCCTTGGGTCAAAGAAGAAATCACAAGGGAATGAGAAAATATTTTGGTATTATTTCAATGAGGGGAAATAGGGCAGGGACATATGTAATACTTTCAACAATAAAGATATATCCGAGAGAGAGAGAGAGACATAACTGCACTGCTGGTGGGAATGCAGACTCATGCAGCCACTGGGGAAAACAGTATGTAGTTTCCTCAAGAAATTAAAAATGGAACTACCTTTTGACCCAGCAATCCCACTTCTGGGAATATATCTGAAGAAACCTGAAACATTAATTTGAAGAATATTATACACACACACACACACCTAAAACCAAATGAAAATAAAAGCCCAACATCTCAAAAATCCCTCTAGCCCTGGCCAGTTTGGCTCAGTGGTTGAGCATCGGCCTGTGGACCAGAGAGTCCCGGGTTCAGTTTCTGCTAGGGGCACATACCACTAAAAAAAAAAAAAAAAAAAAATCCCTCTAACCAGTGCTTAAAGGGGAATTTACAGTATTAAATCTTATATTAGAAAAGAAAGTTTCAAATTAGTCTAAGTTTCCATATTAATTAAAATGTAGAGCAAGTTAAACCCAGAGCAAGTAGAAGGAGGAAAATAATAGTGATAAGAGCAAAGAGGAAACTGAGAACAACAAAACTACAGAGAAAAATCAATAAAACCAAAAAGTTGGATTTTTGGAAAAATAATAAAATCGATAAACCTCTAGCTAGACTGACCAAAAAAAAGAGAAGACAAAAATTACGAACATGAAGAAGGAAAAGGAGATTATTACAGATGCTACAGACACTGGAAAGATAATAATGAAATACCAAAAACAACTCTATGCCCATAAATTCAACAACTTAGAGAAAATAGACAAATTCCATAAAGGCATATGCCAGAGTTCACTGAAGAAGAAATAGATGACTTGATGTCCTAAATCTATTAAATACATTATAAGTTAAAAATCTTCCAACAAAGAAACCTCCAGGCCTAGATAGCTGCATTGGTAAATTGTATCAAACATTCTAGGAAGAAATAATACCAAATCTAAACTTTTCCAGAATACTTATAAGGGAAATACTTCCTGACTAATATAGTGAGGAAAATATTAACCTGATACCAAAACCAAACAAAGGCATTACAAAAAAACTGGAGACCATGAACATGGATACAAACATCTTTAACAAAATACTAGGAAATCAAATCCAACAATATATTCAAAAGATTAATATATCATGACCATATGGTGTTTACCCAAGAAAACTCAAAAATGATGCAACATTTGGAAAATCAATTAAGATAATTTGCCATTTCTACAAACTAAAGAAAAAAATATCCTTTCAATAGATACAAAAAAACCTTTGGTAAAGGACACCGTTCACTCATGATTTAAATACACATATACACATACTTAGCAAACCAGAAATATAAAGAAAATTTACAGGTCATCTACAAAAACCTACAATCATACTTAATGATGAAAGATTGAATACTTTCCCCCTAAGATCACAAATAAGGCAAAGATGTCTATTTTTACTACAACTATTCAACATTGCACAGAAGTCCTGGTCAGTGCAATAAAGCAAAAATAAACAAAAAACATAAGCAAAAGGCATAGCGATTAGAGTTTTAAAAAACTTTCTGTTCACAGAAATAGGATTGTCTAAATAGAAAATCTCAGAGAACCTACTATAATCTTATCACAAATTCAATTACCATAATTTGATAAAAATGTAACAAGTTGAACTCCTAAGGGGTGTTGTAGTAGTTATATTAAACTCAGTAATGCACATCATTTAGAAGTCATCAAATGACACTATAGTCTGTACCTGTCTTGATTTAAAGTTTCTCACTACTTAAGATTAAAATTTTATTTTAAATAAGGGATCAGGACACTTACGTTAAAATTCAATACCCACAGCCATGGCCGGTTTGGCTCAGTGGTTAGAGTGTTGGCCCTCAGACCAGAGAGTCCTGGGTTCAGTTCCCACTGAGGGCATGTACCTCGGTTGCGGTTTGTCCCCGGCCCCATTGGGGTCATGTCGGTGGCAACCACTCAATGTGTCTCTCTCCCATAGATGTTTCTCTCTCTCTTCCTCCCCTCTCCTTACTACTCTATCTGAAGATAAATGCAAAAATGTCCTCGGGTGAGAATTTAAAATATATATATATATATTCTTGTCTCAAAAGTTTCCAAAAAATAAGGTCCTTGAAACAATCCCTTTATCAAATGTAAATTATAGGGGCTCTGATGAAATGTTTTAGTTTTATTTATTTTTTTTATTGAATTTATTGGGGTGACCCTGGTTAACAAAATTATCCAGGCTTCAGGTGCACAATTCTACAACACATCACCTGTACTGTGTGTTCAGCACCCGCATATGAAAAATGCTCCTAAATGGTCATCTGTGCCAGGATTTAACCACCTTGTAATCACTCACATTTTCCAAGAGCAAACCTGTTAAGAACATTTTTTCTATGACCAGGTTTACCATGTATCTAGCAAAATAACCTTGGGAATAGGAACACAAATTACTTGCTTTACAAAAGACACTGTTTATTCCATGTATAAAGCTCAGAGAGTGGTTTTCAGAAAGATCAAATAAATACACCAACCGTACAGTTGTTTAAGGTTTATTTTTATATGCATACAAGTTTCAAGAAAACAAAAATTTCAAGATACAGAGTATAACATATCAAATAAAGTCATTCAGAATTATTTCAATGTGTACATAAACAACAGTATAGAGCACATGTATAAGATACATTATATAATTTGTTTTGAGGTTTCAAAAAAGCAGTGTTTTGGTTCTTAAATTCTGATACCATTATATCATTCAAGTAATACATATTTCCAAAGTTCAGTTTTTTTAAATAACTAAATAAACACATAATTCTAAGACAATCTGATAGATGAGCTGCCTTTACCACGATCTTCGAAATAGTGCTGTTCAATTCTTCTACAAAAAGCAAGAAGGTTGCTATAGTTTTTCACCTTCTCAGAAAGTTCATCATTGGTCAATTGTGTGGTCAGAATGGTGTACAGATGGCCAAATACCAGTGCATCTAGTTCAGTAGGCCTAGAACAAAAGTAGAAATGAGAGTAACATAGTGTTTAATTTGTATGGTAGGATATATACTTTTTAAAAATATTTATTTATGTATTTATTTATGTATGTATGTATGTTATAAATGTTTCTTCTTTTTCTCCCATTGACTCCCTCCTCCTGACTCCCATCCCCGCCCCCTTCACAGTACTGTTGTCTTTGTCCATTGGTTATGCATGTGTGCATATAAGTTCTTTGGTTTATCTCTTCCCACCCTCCCCCCACCCCTTCCTCTGAAGTTGGTCAGTCTGATCCCTACTTCCATGTCTCTGTGTCTATTTTGTTCATCGACTTATTTTGTTTAGTATATTCTACAAATAAGTGAGATCATGTAATATTTGTCTTTCTCTGGTTGGCTTATTTCACTTAGCATATATACTATTTTTAAAAACACTTTATTCATCTATTTAAAAGAAAAAAGTCACAGAAAAAAGTAAATCCTACCCCAACTTGATAGACTTATTGTTTTTAGAGTTTGTTATAAGATATTAAAAACATTTTCAACTATTATTTGCTAGTTGTGTGATTTGCTTTTTGAAGTAGTAGTATTATTTAAATGTGTTAAAATAATTGCTAATAGTTGATCATATTCATTTTATTCATTAATCTATTTACTAAATAAATATAGCAGGTCTCCAATATGCCAGAACTGTGCTAGATACTAGAGATGTAAAAACAAGAAAGATATTGTAAGACATGGGGACAAAACACAAATTACCACAACAAAATTTAGTTAAGTGCTTTAATAGATGTATAAACACAATGTTGTCAAAGCACAGAAGATTTCACTGTGGTGACGGGACAACAAAATGATACCTGATTATCCAATCATATATTAACACTATGATTTTAATTTGACTTTAAAGTAACTTAGCTTTCTAAAAGAGATTCGTGAAGATGGCTTCAACGAACATTTTTCTAGAATTTTTCCCCTTTCATTAGATATTACTAACAAAAACAATAAAATTTATCACCTCACTACTAATGGTCAATATCATGGAGTATCTCCAATCTACATTATATTAAAATAGTTACTAATACAATATTACAAATGTAGAAAATACCATCATAATTATGGACTGATTGCTGCTGTTAGTCCCATAGTGATAAAGTTGTTTTTTGTTGTTTTTTATCCTCACTGGAGGACATTTTTCCATGTTTTGTTCAGATAGAGTGGGAGGAAGAGAGAGGAAGAGAGAGAGAGAAACATCGCCGTGAAAGGGACACATTGAGTGGCTGCCACCCGCATGACCAACCAGGGCCGGGGACAAACTGCAACCAAGGTATGCGCCCTTAGCACGAACTGAACCCGGGTCTCTCTGGACCGCAGGCCGACACTCTAACCACTGAGCCAAACTGGCCAGGGCCCATAGTGATAAAGTTTTTGAGAAAACGTGTTAGTCCACCTAAATGTGAAAAAATGTTGCAGTAATCTGGTTTGTGAGAATCTAAGTCTGAATCCTAAAGCTGCCACTTACTTATACCTGTGTGGCCTTGGTCACTATTGATGAATGAGTTCATGCAGTTCCGTAGCTTTAAATACCTCCTTTTTTTTGTTTTTAATCCTCACCCAAGGATATTATTCTATTTATTTTCAGACAGAGTAAGGGGGAGATAAAGAGAGAAAGATATCGATGTGAGAGACACATCGACTGGTTTGCCTTCCGCACGACTCTGACCAGGGCCAGGAACTGAACCACAACTGAGGCATGTGCCCTTGACCAGGAATCGAACGCAACACTTTTTGGTCCACGGGCCCACGCTCCAACCTCTGAGCCAAACTGGCCAGGGCTTTAAATACCTCTTGATGCCACTAATCCCCAGACATGTACCTCCAGTTCCAGTCTTGCTCCTAAACTTCAGAATCATATATTCAACAAATCAATAAAAAGTTGATGTACTTCTCATACCATACTATAACTGTATTTACTCAACTATCCCCTACCCCAATTATGCTCCAAGCTACTTAAAGGTAACACTGCAAATACTTTGATATTCCTAGTTCTTAAAATATCTAAGGAATTGAATCTGTATTTGCTGAATGAATAAATGAAAATAAAAAGAAAGCATCCTGCCTAAGGTGTGTAGAATACTAAATTTTCAAAGCCTTCTCTCTTTCTTTTGACACATTCATAAAGTTTTCATCAAAGTCATATACACAGTGGATGGCCATGTTTGAGAGGGTAGATAACAGAATAGTATTAAAAAAACACAAGTGTCCTTATACTTACTTGCACCATGATCCTATTACTATAAATGGACTATCAATAACAAATAGATCCCTGAAATGAATCAGGGATGTAGAAGGTGGATAAATGTAGAGCTGAGGCACTCTGAGAAGTAATACAAACATGAACTCTTCCATATCCCTAAACATATTACTTAAAAGATATATCTTATCTTACCAATGCAGAATTTATTTTCCTACTCCTTTTTTAGGGTTAACTACCTTTTGTTTCTTATATTAGAGCCTAAAAAAGGTGAATATACCCTGATGCAACTTCCAGTAGTGTCAATAGGCATCCTTTATTAATAAATGAAGGCTCTGGCCCTGGCCGGTTTGGCTCAGCAGTAGAGTGTCGGCCTGCGGTCCAGAGAGACCCGGGTTCAGTTCCCACTAAGGGCATGTACCTTGGTTGTAGTTTGTCTCCAGCCCTGGTTGGGTCATGCGGGTGGCAACCACTCGATGTGTCCCTTTCACGTCGATGTTTCTCTCTCTCTCCCTCCCCACTCTATCTGAACAAAAAATGGAAAAATGTCCTCGAGTGAGGATTAAAAAATAATAATAAAAATTAAAATTAAAAAATAAATGAAGGCTCTGAATGAGTTCAAGTACAAATGTATGTTTAACCTGGAGTGGTCTAGAAGTGCCCGTGGAGTGGTCAAAATGTTATTAGCTGTAAATATATATCCATATAACTCAAAAGGTGCTGAACTGCTTATGGATAACAAGCATACAAAAACCAATCTGAAGTTATATAAAGACAGTAACTTGTTAGAATATCTAACAGGAAGTATAATACAATATACAAAGTCAAACAAAACACATCCACAAATTTTAATGCATATTTGTTGCCATCTTTACAAATTTCAGCAACTAATTATATTTACTGACTCTGACATATACAAGTTACCAACTCTCTCAATCTTTTCTTTTTAAAAAGTATACTTATGGTAGTGGTTAACACAACTGTATACAATTACTAAAATTTATAGAACTAGACACATAAAAGTGTCAATTTTATTAAATGTAAATTATACCATGATAAACCTGACTTTATAAAAGCAATAAACTCAGAAAAATATTTGCAACTCATATGCAAGGCAAGCACAAAAAATACACTTTACCCAATATTTCTACTAAATTGTTTAGTCAAGCCAAGATCTTTAAGTACTTCCAATTTTAATTACCTTTCCTATACCATATGAAGAGAAAACATAACATTTCTACCCTTCTGCTTTCTAAATAGTTGGTAGATTATAATTTGGATATAGATAGCAACTCTCCTTCTAAGACTTTTAACGTCTTCCATATATATTTTTACATTTATCTTTATAGACACTTTATTAGAAAAATATTCCAGGGTGACAAATATATTTTTAAAGTCCTAAGCAATTTGTTGCCTTATCTTGTATTATCATTCTTTCCACATTTCTGTTGGTTATCTATTATTCTTTCATGTGAGTATTAAAATAAAAACAGTACTGTAAAATGTGAATGTTTTCCTAATTCTTCCCATTTAAAATGTTTTTACACTCATCTTTTTTTGCTATATTTATTATGATTCCATATTTTTTCTTTCTTTCTGATACCTTTCATAGTCAGTCTAGTTCATTTTGTTTGAGTGTCCCTAATCTTTCTTTCCAATTACACTATTAACTTGTCATGTATGCATACCACTAGAAATAATCTACATATCCTTTCTTTATAGACTGGCCACTAATCTTTAGGACTGTCATTCAAGTCTGTAAATCAAGCCCCTTGCCATCAACCTTTCCCATATTTTGCCTCTGGATATTTTTTAGCTATTTTCCCTTAATTTTCTTAACTGGTGATTTCTTAATTAAATAAACCTCAATAAAATCTTATTCCTTCCTGAAATTTTTCATCTTAAAATTCCCAAGTATAATTATTGTACCATTTCTTCAATATAGTTTCCCATCTGTATATGAAGGAATATTTTCTAATTTTACCATTTACTTAATGGTTACTAGCAGTATTTTTTCTTCTTAAAATCTAACTCCTTTTCCAGTTTCTCACTGAACTTAACCTAATTTTAACCAGTATTTATTGAGCTTCTTCTAGCTAACAAGCTTTGTTTGGAAAACACAAACCTGCAAGGAGGTCATAAATGCTTTAGAATATTATAACTCTTCCTATCCTCAATATACTTAAAAATACATATATATTTTTCTACTCTTTTTCCCCCTTTATTAAAAAGGTCACAGAGCCCTGGCCTGTTTGGCTCGGCAGTTAAAGCATCGGCCTATCGACCAAAGAGTCTCGGGTTCAATTCCAGTCAAGGGTACTACCTCAGCTGCAGTTTAGTCCCTGGCTATGGTCAGGGTCATGCAGAAGGTAACCAATAGATGTGTCTCTCTCACATCGATGTTTCTCTCTCTCTCCCACCCACTCAATCTGAAGATAAATGGAAAAGTATCATCGGGTGAGGATTTAAAAAAAAAAAAAAGGTCACATAGAAATATCACTTTAAAAAAAGTTTTAGTTTTTCATTCCAAGTCTACACTTGAAGGGAACAAATGACCTAGTAGTCTTTGTGTAGGTGTCTTAACAGATATCACACATCAGCAAGATAGCATAATACTGATTTTCTCTTTGTTGCATTTTGGAAATATGACTTAAATACTTAAAAGCAATCAACATTAAATATTTTGAAGGATAAAAAGCCACATATTTTAGTATCTACTTTATATAATTTCTAATATTTTTCAAATTCATTTTTCTTCTGCCTTTCCACCACTTAGCTTCTTTGCCTTCCTTTCAGTTACTACTCTTGCTGCGAGCTATCCCTCAACTACCCTTTTTCCCTTTCTCTCATCAAGTAAAGCTATTAGGTTTCTTTCATGAGCCCTCTCAACATCCCTAGAAGGTAAGCTAGGAGAAAAACTGATTCTAATTTAAGAGGGTAAGGGAAGGACACACAGGAAAATAAAGTAACCTGCCAAAGTTTGGTATGTGTTAGAGCCAAGAATAGAATTCAGGGCCTCTGACTTAGAATCCAGTACTACAGATCTTGACTTAAGCCAGTGCTCTTTTCACTAAGGTCTAGTGTCTTACAACATAAATACTCCCGGGACAGACAAAGAAATGAGAAAAATTCTGCCACAACAAAGTGAAAATACAAGTTACTTTTTCCTAAATGTAGTTTACTTGCATGTTTATATTAATTAAATAATTGGGTAAAATTAAAACTAAAAACTAAATCTATTATATTATTTAATCATAGCTGTTAGGGAAAAATGTTTATCTAGGTTTCATATAAAGTAGAATTTTTCAAACACCTACATCTTAACATCAATTAAACTGTTCCTCGATAGGAAACCTTTGGTTTTGTAACTGTTTTAGATTTTTTTTTTTTTTTTTTGGTACGTGCCCCTAGCGGGAACTGAACCCAGGTCTCTCTGGTCTGCAGGCTGACGCTCCAACTGCTGAGCCAAACTGGCCAATGCAAGATTTTTAATTTTTCATTACAAGTTTATATATAATTGTACCCTTATGAAAAAAAACTATTTTAATACTTTCACTAAATCACATGCCAAACGTCACCTGGTTACTAACTCTTTGACACTGAGTTCAAATAAAAAGAACAAGTTAGCTCTATTCTGCCAAGACAGGGTATATAATAATAATAACTCCTAACGCAGAATGATGCACTTCAAACAATAGAACATACCCCTTCTGAGCTTTTCAACACCTAGAGCTTTTGAACTCTATGACCTTTCTTCAGAGATCAACAGAGACTCCAATTTTATTTTAATACCAGTTACATATAGTATACATTAATATAACTTAAATATTTCCAACCTATCAAATAGTCATCTTTGCTATAAATATTAATATCTGTACCAAAAAAATGTTTGATATGGTTATGGAAGACAAATATATAATAAATAACAGCAAATACAGCTTTATAAAATTATCAATCTAAAAAGCAAGAAATTTTATTAAAAAGCCAAGAAAGGGCCCTGGCCAGTTTGGCTCAGTGGTTAGAGTGTTGGCCTGAGGACCAGAGAGTCCCAGGTTCAGTTCCCACTAGGGGCACGTACATTGGTTGCAGTTTGTCCCTGCTCCAGCTGAGGTTGTGTGGGTGGCGGCCAGCTGATGTGTCTCTCTCACATCAATGTTTCTCTCTCTCTCTTCCCCCCTCTCCCCCTCCCACTCTATCTGAAGATAAAAGCAAAAAAATGTCCTCGGGTGAGGATTAGAAAAAAAAAGCCAAGAAAGGTTAGAATTTCTAAGCAAACCACTGAGATTAAAATGTTAATTTAAGCCCATCTTAAGCTGGATCACAGGATAGCTAACTGTGATACACTAAAATTATAACTTTTTATTTAAAAAATAAAATTCACTCTTTGCCTACATTAGATACTCTTTTCCAAATTACCAAAAAAACTGTCTAAATGAAACATGAATTAGCCTATATATATAAATATTTAATTAATCCTTCATATTCACTTCTGAGCTTTGCAAATATTTTCACTACATTTTAAAGTTCATAATCATGCTTGTCTATCCAACAATATTTTTATTGTTTAGTTTTATTCACTTGTCTAGTGGTCAGGGTATCACACTACATAGATAAGTGTGGTTACACTTCATATTTTATTTTTATTTATATATTTTTTTGTTATTAATCCTCACCCAAGGATACTTTTTTCCATTAATTTTAGAGAGTGGAAGGAAAGGAAGAATGGGGGGGGGGGAGAGAGGGAGGGAAGAGAGAAGAGAGAGAGAGAGAAATGAATGGATGTGAGAGAGACACATTGATTGGTTGCCTACTGAAATGGTGGAACAGGGGCCCAAGAGGGGCAGGAATCAAACCTGCGATGCAAGTATGTGCCCTTGACTGGGAATGAACCCGTGACCCTTCAGTGCTCTGGCTTATGCTCTAACCACTGTGCAACACCAGCCAAGGCCAGTTAGTATTTTAATAGTACTTTGCAAGTTTAGAATTCTGTTAATTTAGATGTCGTATTTTGCCCTGGCCGGGTGACTCAGTTGGTTGGAGCACTGTCCCATACACCAAAGAAGTTGGAGGTTCGATTCCCAGTCAGGTCAGTGCACATACCTAGGTTTCTGTTAGATCCCTGGTTGGGGAAGCAACCAATTGATGTCTCTCTCTCTCTCAACCAATCGATGTTTCTCTCTTTCTCTCTCTCTCTCTCTCTCTCTCTCTCTCTCTCTCTCTCTCTCTCTCTTTTTCCCTTTTCATCTCTCTCTCTCTAAAATCAATAGAAACATAAACTTGGGTGAGGATTTTTTAAAAAAAAGGATGTCGTATTTCCATACAAAGCACCTTGAATTACTACCTCTAGAAGAATCTCTATCATATCATACATTAATGAGAAATTCTTAATGGCAAAACTGCATTTTAGAAATCTCAGTGTCCCACAACCTAGCACTATGCCTGACACCCAAGAAATGCTAAGTAAATGTTTAATAAAGGCAAAACTAAATTTAATATAACTAAATCTTTTCACAAATATTTCTTGATAAAACAACTCATGATAAAATAAGTTTATAACCTAACAATACAGAAAAGAAACTAACTTAAAAAAATTTCTTACTGTTTATTGAAGAAATATGGTTGTGTTCCCAGTCTTTGAGAAAGAGCTTGACAGCACTGGTCAACATCTTCTAAGACCTTGTATAGGCAATAGACCCCAAAGAGAAATATTTAAATTAGCAAAACAATAAATTTAGGTAATCTTTTATAATATATTCAAATCAGAGTATAGGTTACATATAAAATATAAATAAACTTTCTATATAAGAAATACAAAGAAAATTTGAGAGCTAATTTCCTTTCAATGCAAGTACAATTAAGTTACTTATAAAGATTACCAACAAGAAAGTTTTTACCTCAAAACTCCACTCCCTACAAAAACTGTTTTCCTGAGTCCATATATTCAAATGATTTTACATATATTAAAAAACCTTCTTCATAAAAATGACACTGCCGCAGTTGTTTTTCCACTAGTGGAGATGGATTTTATTTACTCGATGCCTGTTCATTTATCCGATCCCCCTTATGGCCAAAGGCACATATTAATTGAGTTGGCTGGCTAGGACTAGGGGTAGCCTTGTACAAGACATTAATTAGTCTAATGATGTTCAAACTCATGACCTTGACAAGATTTATATTTTTTAATCTTGCTCCTTCAGTAAATTTAAAACCAAAAATAAAATAAATAATATATACATATATATTAAGCACTGTATTTAACAGGGTATTTTTTAAGCCCCGAAGCTGCAAATCAATGTTTATTGGCATAAAAGATGCTCGTAATGTATTGTTGAATGTAGAAAACATTAGGTTATAGAGTGGCAAGTATAATACGATCTCATTTTTAAAAAAATGTTATCAAGAGACATCTAGAAAAATGTACTCAAAAGAGTTAACAGAGGCAATTTCTAGGTAGTAGTATTATTTCAGGCCACGTTTACTTCCTTTTTAAACATTTCTATATTATATAATTTGTTTTACAACAAGCATGTGATTTTTATAAAACTACTTCATGTCAAAAAAATTAAGAACAATGTTTTGTTAGTTTTTTATTATGTTGGGATTTTTTAAAGGACCATCAATACAAAAAATTAATTTCTTAATACTTTAAAGATTTATCTTAAATGCATTAAAAGTTTTGTGAACTTCAATCTGAACTGACCTGGTCCAGAGTCTTTTTACCCCATCCAATAGCTTTCATCTTACGTTTGACTTCCCACTGTTTCTGATAAGCCAAAATATGATTCAGAGGCCAAGGGTAAGGAGATCCATACCGAGCATGTGTGATCTAAAGTAAAACAATTTTGTTATAAACAAAGCCTCTTTTTACAAATAGAATTCTAAAGGGAATATACTGCCAGAGAACACAAATAGAACAATCTGAAAAAAATACAGAGCTTGCAATCTAAAAAATTAAAATTTTAAAACATTCCCTTTAAAAATATATACACTTTTATGTACTTTGCAACCAGTTATATCAAACAATGACACAGAGCTTCCCTAAAATGTATGTGCAAGCAAAATTAAAGTAAGTGAAAAACTATATCACTAATGGTATAAACCACAATGTTTCATTTATGAGCAGGGACTTACGATTCTGAGCAAAAGTGTTTTCTCATTAAATTTTAATTAAGATAAATGCTGCAGAACCACTCACCTCTCCTACTGTAGCTTCATCACACCACTGAAGATACAACTAGGAACAAAAGAAATAGTCACTAAAATTTTAGAATACCAAAGAGAAAATGGATAAAAAGTTATTTCTTGCCACAGTAATTTTTATAAGCCAATTTTATAAGTCACATACGTTAGGGGTTTTTATCTTCACTAATGTTGCTATACATAATTATTAAATTTAATGGTTGTACTTAATAAAAATATTTCTTATTTGTATAGCACATCTCTAAATAACATTAAAGTATTTTATAGATATTATTTAAGTATACTTCACAAGGCCAAAGTAAAATAATAAGTGGGCAAGAATCCTTTCTACAAACAGAAAAATTAGAACTGAAAATGCCAGGCAATTTGTTCAAAGATAATGATGAAATAATTTGGGTAAGCATCCTAGCCCTAGAATTGCTTCACTATTTTCTTATTTCTTAATAACTTTAAATTAGCCTATAAAAAAATTATCTTTTATGAGAGAAAAAGCTTATTTTTAAGGCCTATTATTTTCTATTATACCTCTGCAGTCAACAGCATATTGTTGACTAATTCCATGTAGGCTTTCATTTCTGCTTTTTGAACTTCATCCAACCCATCACTAAGAGAATGGCCCTAAAGGGAATTTAAAAAAATTTAAGAGCATCATATTAAATATACAAAAATTTTCAGTTATGTTATTACAAGTAATATAACACCAATCTTTTTATTGTAAATGCCCAATGGATTAATTTCCAAAATGCTTTCAAAAAGAAAATTATTTTATATAAAAAAATAGTTAACATTCTTTTGCTACAAAATATTAATAAGTAGTATGTCATTATAAAAATGATTCAACAAATATTTACATTATCAACTACTTCAAAAAAGAAGAAAACAAGAATGGTCAGTAAATCTTGTTATTTTAAGAAGCTAATCTTAGTAGTAATAGAATAAATGCCAAAAGATTGGCATGTGTTACTTATAAAGTGGTCAAAGATAAATAAAGGTATAGGGTAAGAAATACTAATTTTTAAATTCTAACACACTAATGTAATGAGTGAATTCATAAAATGATATAACCTTTAGTTCAATCTGGCAATCTGTTTTATGATTTTAAAAATGTATATCCTATAACATCACAATATCACTCTTAGGAATTTATCCTAAGGAAATAATCTGAGAAGTGTACAAAAGTATATGTACAGGAATATTTATCTTATCACTCAATAATAGCAAAGAACTGGCAACAACTTAGTGTCTATCAGTAAAGAATTACTAAATTATAATATATCCATAAAACAGAATACTATGCATTTTTAAAGGAATACACACACACACACACACACACACACACACACACACTCATTAACATGGAAGAATTTCCAAACATATTGATAATTTTAAAGAGGCTACAAAATAACAAATAATAGTATGATCTAGGTTTTCCTATATACAAAGAGAAAAGTCTGAAAGAATTTTCCCCAAAATGTTAATGGAGGCTGTCCTTTAATACTATTAAAATTAATACTGAATAATTCAAATGGATAAATTAATACATTCAACTTCTATACAGATCCTATATCTCCCTTCTCAAAGGTTAACTTGACATTTTTTTAACAACCTAACAGTTTTCATTTATGACCAAAATTCTCATTAGCATAAGTTAGAAAATTATCTACCATTTTGTAAAGATCAAATTACCTCTTTTGCCACTGATTTATGTTATTCAAAAAAAACTTACACTTTAGAAATATTTCTCCAGTAGTTTATACTGGCATTTTATAAAACTAGGTTAAAATCAATGTAAATGTTATGACATGCTAAAAATGATGAATGATTTATTTAAAAGTGGCTGTAATCAAATGCATTTAATATCTTTTTTATTACCTTGGCTTTAACGAATTGGACTATTGGACCAAGTTCTGATACTACTTGATTTCCTACATGAATAAAGGGTACTTTACCTGTTGAGGAAAAAAAATGTGTGAAAACACTTTCAGTATATTAAGTTTGTGCTAATAAACATAGGGAATTAACACAAAACTGTTTTATTAATAGAGAATTTCATATTATAACTTTTGAAAATTACAATTAAGTGTGTGTTAAATTCTATAAAAGTTTATACACTGTTTACTGACATTTTAAAACAAAAGAACTATCTGAATTATTCATTTCTAGAGTATCATATATAATAACAGATAGCAATATACCCTTTTCAGAGCTAACACTATCAAATCACTTTATAGCCATAAATATTAATTATTCAAATTACATGAAGCAGACACCGGTTCATGACCACTGATAGATTTCAAAGAAATTCAACTGAGCCTTCTCTTCAGAGTACAATGAATCAATCCATATTTTAAACTACATTTGAGAAGACTTCTTTTTTTATCTTCTATTTTCAAGTCTCAAATACTCATTAAGGTCAATATTTTAAGTACATGATGTTGTATTAATAAATGTCTTTGAATCAGACATACCAGGAATTAAGAGAATTAACAATCCTTGAAGGTACATTAGTTTATTATGAATTATAGTACTAAGTATGTTCCCAATACATATGGGAAAAAAGAACAAGTAGGATGCTCGCAAAAACTGGCTTCTCTAAATAAATGCCATGTTAAAAGATTAGTTCATTCTTATAAATACAAATAGTTGGTGAAATTATCAGAGATGATGAGAACAAAATAGTCTCCAAATAGCAATAAAGTTTTCCCAAAAAACTAGAGAATAAACCTTGTTGTCAAGCCTAGTTCAAATAGAGTTCACATTAACAGCAGGCTTCTTCATGGTCCTTTTCAATAGATTCACCCCTCTCTGGCTCAGTCAGCCTAAGGGTAATGGATGAGGTGCACCGCACCAACAAAAGCTTCATCTGCATCCGTAGGATAACACATTACAAAGGAAAGCCAGGCCTTTTCGAACACAACTCAGTAGATATATTTGGAAGACATATCCATGTTACCAATATAGAAATACTGAATTCCACATTCTTTTCTTCTACTGCTTTATAAATCTTGCAATAAAGAAAAAGATTTCTTATCTGGGTAAGCATTAGGTTATATTGTTTTTTAGTGCAGGTCCTCTGAGATAAAATAATCTTAGAATGAAAACTATTTATTAATGAATGCCTAAACTGAAGGGTATTTCTGGGGTGTAACATTTTGAGAGCAAAGTGTATTTCTCATTTTCAATAACCAGTTTAGAGTTTTTGGAAGATAGATTTCATTTTTTCATTTCTTAAAAATACTTTGAGCGCTGTAGTTTCTGAAATAGGGAAGCAGGATGACTAGTCAATTGAGTACTTATATACCTTTAAATATAAAGATATATACAAAAAGCAACAAATTAGAAGTGAATAATGTTTTTTGTTACTTGCTTAATATAAAGCGGAGCCAATGTTATATCCTTATTATAAGGTAAAAGTACAGTGAGACAGTTATTCTCTGGTACCAATCAAAGGTTATAAAAGCAAATTAGAACCTTTATTTCTAAAGAAAGCAAGAAGATGTTGCCAAGCAAGTATGTAGATTTTGAGAATATTAGAAAAAGAAAAGACCTTGGATGTTATCTAATCCAACCATCCCATATTACAGATTAGAGTAAAAATTTTCCTAACACATAGCCAAGTGGTCTTCTGACTATTCCATGATGCTCTCTGCTTTAAAAATCTTCCATTAACAGCCCTGGCTGATTTTGCTCAGTGGTTAGAGTGTCAGCCCACAGACCAAAAAGTCGCAGGTTCAATTTCGGTCAAAGGCAAGTACTTTAGTTTCAGTTCGATCCCTGGCCTTGGTTGGGGTCCTGAGGGAGGCAGCCAATTGATGAATCTCTCACACATCGATATTTCTCTCCCTCATTCCCTCTCTCCCTCCCACTCTGTCTGATAATCAATGGAAAAAATATCTTCAGGTCAGGATTAAAAAATAAATCATAAATCATAAAAATCTTCCACAACAGCCCTGGCTGAATGGCTCAATTGGTTGGTGCACTGTCCCATACACCAAAATGATACACCAAAAAATTCAATTCTTGGTCAGGGCACATACCTAGGGTTCGTGTTTAATCCCCAGTTGGGGTGCGTATAGGAGGCAACCAACAGATGTTTCTCTCTCAAATCAATAAATAAAAACATATCCTTAGGTGAAAAAAAAAATCCTCCACAATAAGGACAAATAAGCAAATAAAATGAAACACATTCCCCTGATCACTCCAAACCATATGATGAAAGAGTGAAAGAAAATAATAGTACAGATATAAAATTTAAATATCTTAATAGAAAGTGTCATTTTCATCTACCTATAGAAGACCTCTCCTATGAATGAATGTATGTATGTACATATGTATTATTGCAATATTTGCTTGTCTTTCATAGTCTATTAAAATAAGATAGATATCTACCTAGGTGATACTTAAGCATTCTCTAGTCATTTTAGGAAACAGGTTGATATAGCTTCTCCTTATTTGCCAAAGATATCAACTTCAGTATTAGATTACTAACCATTTTATATGTATATCTACACTCTCTGTATGATCTGCATGACTACATAGTGGGAAAAGATAGACAAAAACCAATATAATTCATTTCTCCAGAATTCAATAAAGCTTACAAAACCTATGTATAAAATTAACACAAAATGAGTCAATTAATGGCCTTCAAGAATCTAAAATATGACTTTATAAGTCTAGAAATTCTTCTATGGAAATGTTTTAAAATGTATATCCATAAACCTATTAATACAGGGTGAGGTAAAAGTAGGTTTATAGTTGTGTGTATGCCAAACAGAGTTTATTCTTGATTTTTTTTAATGTACTGAAATTTAATCACTCATAAAAGCTGTAATTATTCTAGTAGTATTATTTATTAATTATTGTATTATTTTCCATATGAACATCTGGTAAACCTACTTTAGCCCTACCCTGTATAAATGTATTCATATAAAATTTTCAGTGTGCATGCACAGGGCATTTTCACAGATTCCTACAATTAATATTACCCTTAAAAACATAAAATGGAAAAAAATATTTAACACAAGTTATCATTATAATAAAGAGATAGATGAATGTTTCCCTAAAAAACAATGTAAAATACTTTTGCCCATCAGTTATATTCAACAAGATTTATTCAAAAAGGAATAATTCTATGTTATTATTGCTCCAGCAAAACCATAGTTATAATAACCTATATTAATTCTATTTAACATTTATTTATCAGCTTTGGGGCATTATATTTTATGTTAAAAATTATCACCCTGGCTGGTTGGCTCGCGGTTAGAGCGTTGGCCCATGGACCAAAGAGTTGCGGGTTTGATTCCAGTCAAGGGGCATGCACCTCAGTTGTGGTTCAATCCCTGGTCAGGGTTGTGTGTGAGGAAACCAATCGATGTGTCTCTCTCACATCAATGTCTGTCTCTGTCTCTGTCTCTCTCTGCCTCTCTCTTTCTGCCTCTCCTTCCCTCCCTTTCTCCCTTCCTCCCTCCTTCACACTTTATCTGAAGATAAATGGAAATATATCCTCAGGTGAGGATTTTAAAAAAAAATCATCTGAATAGTATTTCTTTAAAACTGTACTTTACTAATATATAACAAACAGAAAAGCAATACTGATTATGAAAAATAGAAAAGCTAATACCTTAATAAAAAGTATCTTAAAACCTGTTAAAGCAGCTGTGGCCGGTTTTGCTCAGTGGTTAGTTACAGCGTTGGCCCACGGTCCAGTGAGTCACGGGCTCAATTCTGGTCAAGGGCACGGGCCTCGGTTGCAATTCATCCTCAGCCCTGGTTGGGGTCATGCGGGAGGTAGCCATTCAATGTGTCCCTTTCACATCAACGTTTCTCTCTCTCTCTCTCTCTCTCTCTCTCTCTCTCTCTCTCTCTCCCTCCCTCCCTCCCTCCCTCCCTCCCTCCCATTCTGAACAAAAACGAAGGAATATCCTCGGGTAAGGATTTAAAAAAAAAAAAAGAAAAAACCTGTTACAGCAAAAAAATTAAAAATCAAAAACATTCAGAGATAACATTAAGATCCATGACAAGTTAATTTAACTATTTCACACTCTCTTCTTCCATCTTTATAATGGGAAAATATAATTTAGAGAAGTCTGTTTAGTAATAGAAAATGCGTTTTGTTTAGGAGAAACAGTCCTATGTAAGTAAGGCTGGAAAAATCTGAGATTTTGTATTTTCTTAATATCTACTATTTAAAACAATTTCTTAACTTTCCAGTAACCATCTCTGACCACAGAGCTGAAATGCATAGACATGCCCACCACGATATTGTCCAATTTGCAATTTTACTTTTTAAAACCATGGGAATCAACAAATCATCAAACAACAAGTGTTGGTGAGGGTGTGGAGAAAAGGGGACTCTAGTACACTGCTAGTGGGAATGCAGACTGATGCAGTCACTATGGAAAACAATATGATGTTACCTCAAAAAACTAAAAATTGAACTGCCATTTGACTCAGTGATCTCACTTCTAGGAATATACCCTAAGAAACCTGAAACACCAATCAGAAAGAATATATGTACCCCTATGTTCATAGCAGCACTATTTACAATAGCTAAGATCTGGAAACAACCCAAGTGTATATCAGTAGATGAGTGGATTAAAAAGCTGTGGTACATGTACAAATGGAATACTATGCTGCTGTAAGAAAGAAAGATCTCTTATCCTTTGAGATAGCATGGAAGGACCTGGAGTGTATTATGCTAAGCGAAACAAGCCAAGCAGAGAAAGACAAATATCACATGATCTCACTTATTTGTGGAATATAATGGACTAAACAAACTGCTGAACAAAATTAACCCAGAGACATAGAGGCGGGATATAGACTGATAGGCCTCAGAGGAGGAGAGTTGGGGGGAGAAGAGATAAACCACAGAACTTACATGCATGTATGCATGACCAATGAACAAAGCCAACAAAGCTGGGGATAGGGTGGGGGGGAAGGGAAGGAGGGTGTCAGTGGGGGAAAAATGAGAAATATCTGTAACAAAAACAAATTAATAAAAAAATTAAAAAATATATAAAGCCTATAAAAATAAAAAAATAAAACCATGGGGAAATTCTTCAAAGAGTAAACCAAAAATATAGGCAATTTAAAAATCTAGATCCAAACTGGACTAGTACTATAATTTTATCAATGTATTATAATAGTAGACAAGAAAAAAATACTTACCAGATGGAGACATATATTCTGCATTCGCTCTACAAACTACTTTGATAGGCAGATTACACATTTGCAAAAAAGCCTGTAAATCAAGAGAAGTATGGTAAACCTAGTGAAAGTATATGCATATTTGAACACAACGTTTTAAAAACTTCTTTTCTAAACAAGAAATCGCTTATATAGTAACACTTCATTGGAAAATAATAAATCTATTGAAAGTCAAAGATTTATATTCCAAACAAAAATAAAATAGTATTTCACTACTAAAATATCAATGGCACAGACATCAATAAATTTAAGAAGCTTAAAGCATTTATAAATTTAAGAAAAGAAATGTAAATTATCCACATTTATTTTACTGTAGTAGATATGTAAGTCAACAATACTGTATATTGCTTTAATTTTCTTTAACAGATGACAAAAATCCAAATTTTATAAGGTATTACTTAATTCTATATTCTTTGCCTTAGGGAAAAAACCCTCAAAATGTTATTTCTGCTAATTCAAAGTTCTCTCCTATAATACCAAATACCCTAAGGTGTAGTTTTTATGCTCACTAATCACAGTTTATTTTCACTCTGTTTAGAGTAACAAAAATTTTATAAGTAACTTAAATATCTAATAGGGAGTGGGTAAATCATTTATGGTGAATCCAAACCATGGACTATTATACAATTTTTAAAATCACACTTTTAAATAAAGAATTTTTTATGACAGGAAAAATGTCCACACTACAATACTTAGTGAAAAATACAAAATTGCACTGACAATATATACTAATTTTTTAAATGTTTTTAAGACATCAGTAAACTCTTTGCCAAACCTATATGCCTTCTGACTGATTCTCTCCACTATTTTTTGTAACACTCAAAGCTTACTCCCCTTCTTCTTTCTTCTATGACATCCAGGTTTCTTTTTCTCCACTCACTAAATTTACCTATCTTCTTTCTATAAAATTATTCAATTGGGGAAGTCATAGGTTATAATGGTTTTAATTTCCACATACAAATTAGAAAACAAGCTTTTTACCTATTTCAAAACTGAGGGAACTACTGTAAAAAGCAGTCAAATGTCAGTTGAGATAAATTAATAAATAATGAGGCTATTACTTATCATATATTAAGATTATTAATAGACCAGCTTATCCTAGCCAATAAAGATTTCTCATAGGGGTTGCCTATTATAATTCCTTCCTTGGTTCTATATTGGAAATCAGTCTTAAGACTCTTGCAAAGTAGTAAGAATGTTCAACAGTGATTATCTTGTACAAAGTGCTCGATTTATCTAAAAGTACATCAATTCTCTTCTTCAAATTTGTCTTCCCAAAACTCTAGTCTTCTAGGAATGCTCCTCTCTAAAAATAAACCCCACCTGAGTCTGATCCCTCTCTACTTACACCTTCTGATTCCTGCATTGCTCTGTAACTTATTTCTTCATGTCTGATGTCACCAAATATATGTAATATCTCAGAGAGCCAAGGAATAAATTTGAATTTTTTGTAATTCTGTCCCTCCAATCTTCCTCATTTTCCTACAGCTACCATAAGAGAGTACACTACTTATAGTAAGCATTCAATGCTTAGTGACTGAGTCAGCCAAAGCTCCCAGAGTTTATTGTGACAGAGGCTCTTAATTATCACCCTATATATGTTCTCCCTTTTTCTATAGTAGTAGAACTCATGAATTATATCTTCACACGTGGTTGTCTGAAATAAGAACTTTATTTCCCAGGGTCCCTTATAACTGGGTATGGCCAAAGTCTAAATTCTGGCCAATGGGACCTAAAGTTCTGGGCAACTGCTGGAAAGTTTCTTAAACAGGGACCTTTTCTTCCCTTCCTCCTGTTGACTAGAATGTGAAAAGGATGACTATAGCCACAACAGCCAAATAAATCATGAAGTGCAAGTCCAGTGTTGGACATGGTAGAACAACAAGCATAAAGAAGCCTAGGTCTTTGATAGCCATGCAGTCACCAAACCTGGATTACTTGTGCTTATAAAAAAAAAATTATATTGAGTTTTTTTGTCATTCACAAACTTAATCCTAACTAGTTCACCAACAATTACTCTTTCTAAGTTTAAGGACCACCTCACCCAACTAAAAGCTGATGCCCCTGTGTCTGTGTAAGTATATACTAACATTCCTCTAAATACTATAATCCGCATTCCCAATTTATAGTAATAGTAGTGAGCTTCTTGACTGATCTCTAAGTATAGGCCAGGAAAGTGGTTCTCCAACTTCAGTTTGGCATATGTCAAAATCATGTGAAAGGCTTATTCAAACAGTTTGTTAGGAAGAGGAGAATTAGAATAAATTTAAACAGTTCTTTCAAGAGGACTTTATGAGAAGGAAGGAGGGATTAGAAAGGTCAACTCCTTTCTATTACATATGTAACCGTACTGATGATGGAGAAAGGTTGAGCTCCTTAAAACATAAATAGAAAAGAAAAAAAAGAAAACAGTGAAAATAGGCTGAAATGACAAGAAACAGGTAGAAAAACTGATATGCAAGATCCCTGAGAAGGTAAAAGGAATGCAATAAAAGCACAGGTGGAGAGACCTGTTTTTGTCAGGGAACAAAACACTTTATCCACTGTAATGTAAGGGGTAGTCAGAATCAGTGATGTTGACTGTAGTATAATAAGAAAATGAATGTAGGTAGCGTGTTCACATTCTGTGAGAAATCATCTGCTAAGAATGACGGACTAAGGGGATTGAGGCCCTCAGAAGAAGAAAAAGAATTTGAAAGAAATGCTTACTATATCTTCTCAAAGGTCTGAATAATATTCGGTTGTTAGTTAACAATCATACTATAAGAATTGTAAATATGGTATACTGTAATTTGCTAAACTACATGCATAGTAGCAACTGTACTAATCAATATTCCAAAAAGCTGCATTTCCCCAAAAAAGATTAAGCAGAATTGTAATGTTCTGTAATCAAAGCCATACTTTCAGTCCTGTAAATTTTTACTCCTTTACTGTAACTGATTTAATTTTGTCCAGTTGAACAACACTAAACTTACCACAGACCTCAATTGATGGCATAATTCTGGTCAAAGATTAATTTTACAGCGTTTACTATAATTACTCTTCATCCCTGATTCAAAAGACATTTTCTGAAATTGTACTTCATAAAAAAGTTTGATGTCATAAACACAGTATTTTCACCCAAACTTTAAAAATGCAAAACAAAATATTGTCTTCAAGAATATAAAAATTCTACAACCAAACCAGGCTTTGATTCAAACACTATTTCCCCTTTCTCTTATAGGATGGAAGAAAATCCCCTAAAGGTTCCAAAATAGTATTTTCACCTTTCATTTTCATTTTTAATCTCTTATCAGTATCCCCAAATACTCAAAAAAAAAAAAAAAAACAGGCATGATACAACAACCTAAAACACATTTACTTTCAATTCTAAAATTGCAATCTGCATGTTTTTATTCTTATGTAAATCAAAGGAAAATATAGTTCTAATTATAATAAGAAAACTTAGGATAACTCACCTAAGTCCTATTCCTCAGTTGGATATTCTATTCCAAACTAATTCAAGTGACTGATAATATAAAATATTTGAATCAAAAACTTAGCACATTCTATTAAATAATGATCTATAAACTGTGGTATCCAATATGGTAGCCACTAGTCCATTGTGGCTATTTAAATCAAAATGAATTAAAGTTGAATAAAATTTTAAATTTAGTTCCCCAGTCACACCAGCAACATTTCAAGTGCTCAAAAGTCACATGTGGCTAGTGGATACCATATTTATTGGACAGCACATACACAAAAAAAGAGAACATTTACATCATCACAGGAAGTTCTGCTGGACAGAGTGGGTCTATAACAATGGTAATCAGTGCATAAAAGGCATCTTAGCCAGGGAGGCTGACATCATCTGAAAGTGATTAGGCTAAATATTATAAAAACAACTTGCATAATAGTCTAGTGTTCACAAACCCTGCAAGTGATCAATCAATTAAACACCACCATATTTTCAATTTCAGAGAGACTATAGGATTTACTCATTTCCTGAGCAACTCCAATTGCTAAAATGGACAGCAAAAACTAAGAATGAAAGAATAAATCGATTAAAACTACAGCCAATATATATATATATTCATTCTTTGAATATAAATTTACTAAGTACTTAAGCACATGACATGGTAAATGATTTATTTTTCTTTATATTCTTTTTTCCCTTTTTAAAATATATATTTTTTATTTTTATTGTTGACATTATTGCAGATATCCCCATACTCCGTCCCTTTGCCCACTTCTACCCAGACCCCACCCTCTCCTCCCTCTGGCCCTCCCCACATTGTTGTCTATAACCATATATATTCTTTGGCTATTCTCTTCACCTTCTTTCATCCCATCCACCCCACCCACCTCCCTCTGACATCTGTCAATCTGTACCATGTATCCATGTCCCTGTTTCTATTTTGTTCATCAGTTTATTTTGTTCATTATATTCCACATATAGGTGAGATCACACGGTTTTGTCTTTCTGACTGGTTTATTTCGCTTAGCATAATAACTTACAGGTTCAGCTATGCTGTTGAAATAGGTAAGAGTTCGTACCTTTTTATAGTTACATAGTAGTCTTTGTGTAAAAGTATCACAGCTTTTTTATCCACTCATCTATCAATGGGCACTTGGGCTGTTTCCAGATGTTGGCTACTGTAAATAATGCTGCTATAAACATAGAGATACATATATTCTTTCTGATTGTTGTTTAAGGATGCTTAGGATACATTCCCAGAAGTGGCATCACTGGATCAAAAGTCAGCTCCATTTTTAATTTTTTGAGGAAACTCCATGCTGTTTTCCACAGTGGCTGCACCAGTCTGCATTTCCACCAACAGCACATTAGGATTCCCTTTCCTCCACATCTTCTCCAGCACTTGGTTGTTTGTTGATTTATTGATGGTAGCCATTCTGGCAGGCGTGAAGTAATATCTCATGGTAGTTTTAATTTGCATCTCTCTGATGATTAGTGACAATGAACATCTTTTCATATATCTATTGGCCATCTGTATGTTCTCTTTGGAGAAGTGTCTATTTAGGTTCTTTGCCCAT